ATATATATATATATATATATATATATATATATATATATACTTTAGTAACATCAAACAAGGTCATCCCAAAATACAATAGACGAAGAAAAAATGAATGGCAGATAAGATTCTCGAAATGGTGAAAAGGAGACAAAAAACAATGCAAATCACTGCTCTTTAGATAAAAATGATGGTATAAGCAACTTGCTATGTCGTTGATTGGTTTCATGTTATTTGCCTTATTTATTTGTTACATTTCGTATTATGTACAAACATTTAAATGCGATAAAACAAGTGTAGCTTGGACCTAATATTACTGACCTGGTTTGAAAAGAAATTGCAATAACTACGTTTATGTATTTCTCTGTTAAATGATAGTTGATAATGATTAGCGGATTATTGATGTAAAGAAATAAGGAACAAATGCAGACAAGCTAAAAAGGAATGGCTCAACGAAAAATGTACAAAAATAGAAAGAATGAAAATCACAGATAAAGCAAATATGCATAAAATATAAGGGAACCAACAAGACATCCACATCAACAGGATGCATAAAAGATCAGCATGGAACGATATTGGAGAAAGAAAAATAATTGAGAGATGCTATGAATATACCTGTAACCTCTTCCACGACAAAAGAAAACTATCACCAATACACAGTAATATCAACAGATCAGAAAAATTAAAATCTGAAGTGGCAGATGCACTGGCCAAATTGAACAGAAACAAAACGTTAGGGCGAGACAGAATTGTAATAAAGATTTTGGTATCGTTTGATGATTTCGGTATATTCAAGATTACAGAAATAATAAATGGAATCTGAAACAGTGGTGATATATACCGCATCGGTACATTCAGCCTAATGAGTTATATAACAAACCTCATAATCCGAATTCTAATGATATGTGCGCGCAGCAGAATCAACATGGAAATAGGACAAGAACAGTGCGGGTTCGTCAAAGACACTGGAACAAGGAACGCAATAGTTATGCTCAGAATGCTGTTAGAAATATCAATACTAATGCAGAAGGACGTGTACCTGTGTTTTATAAATTACGCAAAGGCGTTCGATAACATACGTCACAAATATCTGTTGGAACTACTCACGAAATTCGAAGTATTTAGAAAGGATATTAGAATAATCAAAACCTATATTGACAGCAAATCGCCGGATAATGGATCGAAAATTAGTTCAGAAGATGTACAAAAATCAAAGGGGTGTAAGACAAGGATGTATCGTCTCACCGGACTTATTCAAAGGGTTTCTGAGAGAATTTAGAAGTCCTGCCAGGATTCATAATTGGCAGCCACAATGTTAACAATATAAGATATACAGACCACACAGTGCTGATAGCACACACGAAAAGAAAACTACAATATCTTCTACAGAAGGTGGTGAAGGAAAGCGAGAAGAAATGTTTAAACCATTCTATTTCCAATCTCCGTTTTGGTTACTTCTCATTCCTTAACCCATTCCTGGTTACAACAGTAACGAAAAACGAAATTTATTAAGAGCTATAAAGTATAGGAAATTGGGGAGAGCCATGATCGTCTTCGTCCTGAGGAGATGCAGTACATAAAGAAGAAGTTGGCAGGGAAGCAGGATACCAGATGAGATGTAGGAGAAAAAGAAATTGTTAGAAGCGAAGAGACGGTTAGTTCTAGCTAATTCAACAGAAAAGCGATGAGACCTATCTGCCAATCTAGTCGCATGCTTAAATACATCATGAGTAGTCACATCAAATGGAGAAGAAGAATGCCAGAACTTTATTATGACAACAAAAACAGACGGAAATAAAAGAGAAAATAAAACATCATAACATCTCTAGTTGGTGCGAAATCTACCAACTACTGCAGTTGTGATTTTTTTCTGTGCTTGTACGTTTTTTTATTTCCTATATATATATATATATATATATATATATATATATATATATATATATATATATATATATATATAAAAATATAATATTTTACAGTTAATGCAGCTCCGTCTTGCTATGTAACGCTGTTGATTTTTTCCCGCTCTTTAGATAAAAATGATGGTATAAGCAACTTGCTATGTCGTTGATTGGTTTCATGTTATTTGCCTTATTTATTTGTTACATTTCGTATTATGTACAAACATTTAAATGCGATAAAACAAGTGTAGCTTGGACCTAATATTACTGACCTGGTTTGAAAAGAAATTGCAATAACTACGTTTATGTATTTCTCTGTTAAATGATAGTTGATAATGATTAGCGGATTATTGATGTAAAATCGAGTATCTCTTTAGTTATATCTGTATAAATAAAGCACAGTGTACGTGTGTACGTCCGTCCGTATTCGATCTCGGCGAATCATAAACAATCTGAAGTAACAGGTAGTAACTACTCAAGATTAAAAATTAAATAAATATCTCATTTAAAGTCAAATTTAAATATCGCACAGAGTGAAAGGTATAAAAAACAATTATTTATTAAAAGTTTAGCTTTAATTTCGCTTCTCATCGCAGCTGCAATTGATATTGTCTAATTAA